AAATATTATATATATAAAATTTAATTCAACAGAAAGCCAGAATGTTTAGCATTATTGATAAGTTCTTTAAGCTACATAAGCTCCTCAGCTCTGTATGATGCAGTTTAAGTCCTTGTTTCCTCCTCACAGGCCATCTTCCCCTGTCTCCTCTTTGGTCTTTCTTCAACAGGACCTTCAGGATAAAGTGGCCGACGTGAACAAGGAGTTAAGTCATCTACGCACTAAATGTGCAGACAGAGATGCTTTAATAAGCACTTTGAAACTGGAACTACAAAATGTGCTGCACTGTTGGGAGAAAGAGAAGGCAAAGGCAGCCCAGGCTGAGGGTGAACTCCAGAAGCTTTCCCAGGCTTTCCAGAAGGATGCCGAGGTATTACCGGGCAAAGACGGCTGTCAGGAGAGGCTGCTCGCTTATCACACCCATACATTTACATACAGCAAGTGCCTGTGGTAGCGGTCATTTGACTCAGTAAAAGAAATTATTCTAAGCTGGGTATTTTTGAAATATTCATGACAGAGCAAAATCAGCCCCTCCATTCCTCTTGTGTCATCTTGTTTTGTGAGAGAAATAAGGTAGTGTAACCCTCCTGCCACTTGTACGAGGAAATTTCTCTGTCTAGTTTAGCAGCTGTGTTCCTCATGGTCCTCTCAGAACCTCTCCACTTTCCAGGGACAGGATTTTTTTAATTTTTTTTTTTAATTTTATTTCCAAGACCTGACTTGGACTCTGATGCTTCTGTTAAAAACCATGTGACCCTGGCAAAACCACACAGCTTAGTCTCTTCAAGTCTTAATTTCCTTATTCATAAAACAGGAATAATATCTACTCTAATAGACACAGTCTCTATACTCTCTATCATCTTCAAAGTTTCAGGAAAATATAACACCCCTCCCCTCCCAAAAATTTAAACCTTAATTTGAATGCCTCAGAGTATTAGCTATTCATTTTTTATTTATTGTTGACTCTTACAATATTCTGAAGCAACTTTCATATTCTGTATGACCTGGTGTGAATGGAATGGCCAACTTATGTTTTCTTTTACCCGTGGGGAAGGGAACTAGTCGAGCTAGAGTGGAACTGGTTTATCTGCGTCGTCTTGCATATTGAGTTCATTACTCCAACAAACGTGAACCTGAATGCCAAGAGAGTAAAAAGGAAACATTCTTTCCACCCTCCTTACAGGCTGAGATTTAAATTGTGGCCACATGAAGGGATTGGAATTGTTCTACACATCAGATAATGATTAAAATAAAGGCAACGAGAAGCCTGACTGGATTGTAAAGTCAGCATGTCTACAGCCTTGTGGTTGGGTTCAACATGTGTGAATTGATTTTGGGTCTTGGGATCCTTTTTGCATGCCAAATGGGTGATTATCATGCTTGGTTTGTCACAGCCCAAGCAAAAAGGACACAACAGTACTCCATGCATCATCCTTGAGAATGAACTTGATCACTTGGTGGTGTGTGGGAGGTGGAAGGTTTTAGTGCCTCTGCGTCACATATGGTTAGTGGAGTTAAGATTTTCAAGCATCAAAAACTAGGTGAAGAATGTAAAAGTCGTCTTAAAACCACTTATAAGAGGACACGGCCTAGCCTAGTTAATGACATCTTCTGATTTCTTCACTCGGATCTGTGGTGGCTGGACATCCATAGTCCTTCGTATTCAGAAAAAAGTAAGGTGATAGGTACCTTCCTTTGAAAGGAAAAATATTCCTACATTTGATTGTTATACATTAAAAAACTTTCCCCAAGAATTTCTACTTGTAGAGCTCATACATATGCTATATTACATTTTTCTTAACTAGGTAAGAATTTCCATTCCTCCCGCTTAAACAAAAACAGAAACTCTCCTTTTAGAAACTTTCTATCTTAATTATCTACTATTAGGGTTCTTATTTTATCTACACAAAATATTCAATTGAAAATTATCTTGTCTTTGGGTTGTATATGCTTTAGAACTTTATTAAAGGTAAAATGCTTTATAAAGAATTATTTGGCATTTTAGTAAGTGAATATTTCTTAGGGACTCGAGACAAATGAGCTATATATGGAATTTTGCAGCATAATAAGTATTTCTAGGTCATTTCACATATTTAGCAATGAATAGCTCAGTTACTGCAACAACAACAATAGAATTTGCTATATATATATATGGGTTTTGTTGTTGTTGTTGTTGTTCTAATTGGAGAGTTTTTAAAGTGTGTCTTGGGCAGTCAGACCCATTTCTTTTTTCTGCCTGTTACTTCATAATGCTTATACACCTATGTATGCCTAGAGTGCCAAATACTGTATGAACTTTTAAGAGGAGAAAACAAATGAGCCCTTCTTCCCTATCTTTCATATCAGTCTTCTTTGCCTAAGGGGCTGGGGATAGATTTCCTATAGTGGTGAGCAAGAGGGAGTCTCTGGGGAAGAAAGGAAGCTGAATAATTGTGTGCACATAAAGTTCAGGGATTGATAGAACTTTTTCTTTGACAAAGTTGAGGAACTCTCTCTTCTCTACATAGCTTTTTAAACCTAAGTCATGTTTATTTTGGCAAATGCCCCTATAAGGTGATAGACTTATCATACTGACTTGCAGTTAGAAAGGCTTTGAAAAGTCATATTCAGAGTCCTTGTGTTGGAGGAGAGCTGAAGAAACTGAAGCCTGTACAAGCGTCTGCTCAGATCTTACATCGTCAGGCTGGATCTGAGTCAGAACCCTGGGACTCTGTCTTCTAGCATTTGGGTTTTTGTTTTGAATATCACATGTAAACACTTCCCAGTATAAGAAGTCCCCAGTTTAAGGCTGAAGTCTGTCCCAATGACTCTGTCACAAATTGGTTTTGATGTAAGTTGAACCTCTCTTTAAAAAAAATGATTCTTGCCATGAGTGTTCTCTTATCAGTATCTTTGTAAGTCTAGGCTCTGAACATCTGTTGAGTGAGTGAACATTTGAGAATGATACCATCAGCAAATGAAGTATAAAAAAATTGTGTACAGTACAGATTACAGGTGATAAGATACACAAAATCAACCAGACAGTTATATATATATGGCTCACTCAAACATGTATGTATGTATGTATGTATGTATGTATGTATGTATGTATATGTGTGTATGTGTGTATATGTGTATATATGTATATATGTATATATGTATCTCAAACATATTGTAAATCAAATCGAGGATTACCTGTTGATTGAGTTCTATCCCTTCTACCCTACAATATGTGTGAACTGGTCTAGGCCACCATTCCTAGAATTGTGTATTATCTTTCATTCTGTGATGTTTTACAGATCTCATCCTCTGCCTCTAAATATTATAGCAAAATTAAGTTAAATTAGAAAGCATTAGGTTATATTTGTATGCTAATGAAGCAAGATGAAGGTGGGATGCATCACGTTATTATTATTTTTGATGCATCATTTTTGCTTAAATTACTACTCTTGCTTTGGTCACATTCCTAATCCAATGCAAGTGGAGTTTCCCTGGGATTGGCCAGGATCTCGCTTTAATTTTGTGAGATAAAAGGAGAGAGAAGCACGCAGAGAATGGATTTCAGTACCACCAAGAAAGAAGAGCAGAGGTGTCCTTTAGATCTGGGACCCTGCACTGAGCACCTCCTGCTCTTAGGGCTAAGGCACAGGGAACTTTTCCAGGAACACCAAGCCACAGATGTTGGAGGGAGGCGGGACCTTCCCTAGAGTCAGCACCTTGAATTTAAACTTCTAAACCCCTGGAGAAGGTGAAGCCGGGCTGCTCCTT